CAGGTGAAATTTCGCAAGAGAGAAATCCTCTGCTCGTTGATATTCCACGGGCGCTCGATCGGCGCGCGGGCCTCGTCTCCATGCAAATAACGCAATTAAGAGATTCGAATACAGGCGAGATAACGCCCTTTCGACCGCGAACAGTCAACCTTTTCTTCCGCTTGTACGATTTGCATGGAAAGCCGGCTTCGACCGCCTCTTTTCGAGGGTGTTTGGTCAACTCGATGACGGGGAAACAAGGAATAATCGTGATACAAGAGAAGCTCCCCGGGATGAAGCGAAGTTTGATCGTATCTTCGTTGAAAAAATAAGGTTTAATTTATTTTTTTATTGTGAAGCAAATCGTTTTGAAAATGTTGGTTTAATCACTTGACTATTAAGTTTCTCTTCTCATTCTTTCGTATTCTTAATTTTGGGCCGCATATATAATAAAACTTAAGATTTCAATTTCTCTTTTGATAACGCTTTTACAAACGATCATTTACAAAATTTAAACATCAATCAGTGGCTTTTTTTTAACTTAATGCACGTGATGGGAGATCCCTTTTAATCGTGCAAGAAGTGAAAGAGTATGTTTCGCGAGAAGTTGATTTTCGTAGGAACGCGATTGGAATTCCAATAGTTTTTATCCTATACTGGAAGAAAGTTCGTTACAGTAACGAACGCCTGGAAACCTTTATCCCTCGAATCGGACTCGTCTTAATTCCGTCTGGAGGATACACACGCGGAATCGAGTCGCCTCCAATCCCTTTTTCCTCGCATCTTCCGTTTCCTTCTTCCCTCGATGTATTCTTAAAGATATTGGAAAAACATTTACCTTAAAATATTGGATGGCTGTGCATTTTAAACACTCGCAGTTTAATAATTTTATCATTCAATGGAATATTCTACCAGTTCCATTTTTCAACGCGATTCCTTATCGTGAATAAATCGTGAGATTCTTAAAAATTTTGAAAAATATTATATTTACGAGATATTTGCCGGTTTGGTGTATTTTAAACGTTCAAAACGATTCCGTTACTCGATGGAATATTCTATTTATTTCCATTTTTCATTGGAAGCAATCGAAATAATACGATTCTATTTCTGTAAACCTGGAATAAACGATTGCTCGTTGTTTCAAATAAATCTTACGATTCTTAAAAATATAAAATCATCCAAGATACGCTCAAAAGTTGTTTTTAATTACAAAACAATCCTCTTTCGTTACCTACGAATCAAAAATTAACGAATTTTATTATTCATGTCGTTGTGAGCCAAGTAAATCGTACCTAATTTCGATATTGCACATCAGTTTCGAACAAAATTCTCTCAATCTCGCGATGTTTCGCGTCTGAAAAAGAATAACTGTGAAAGGAGAGCTAAAAAAAAAAAAAAGGAAGAATCGTAGCGTCGTTTCCCTCCCCTCCCGCCCCGTAGAAGCAAAGGTTATTCACCGTCTAAAAGCGCGAAGTTAAGAGGCCGAGTCCGCCCCTTTGTCAGCCCTTTCGATGTTAACAAGAGAGAGCTCCCCTTCCTCTCCCCAGCTTCCTCCTATTGCCGCGACAGCTTCGACAGATTTTTCGCGCACACGTGTCGCGATCGATTCCACTTTTTCCACCATCTCTCCCTATCTTCTCTTCCCCCTTTACCTCTTGAAGACCACCCCTCCCCCTTATAAATACCCTTGATCTTTCCGATTTCCAAATCGAGAATCGAAAAGTTTCGAGGTCAAAAAAAAGAAAAAGAAAATAACATGGATACAAAGTCGATCGAGATACAATTGCGTATGAAAATATCACGATGACTCGAGGGTGGAAATTTCGCCAAGAAACTTTTGATGGGAACTTTGGATCGGATGGAGAGGAGGTGTCGCGGGTGGATTGCCAGCTAATCAAATTCTCACGGTTGACGAAGAGGCGAGGAGGGATTTATCGTAAGCAAATAGAATTAGGAGTTGCGAGTGGGCCGAGTAGTGCTGCTGCTCGCCACGGTTGTCCGAGTAGAGTCTAAGTGATTCAATTAGAGAAACATCGACAGAGCACTCGTGGAATCTCTCGTTGTCCCTCGTTGCGTCTACCTGGCCGTGTTCGAATCTTGCGAATCGCAACTTTCTTACTCGATATTCTGCTCGATCTCCTTCATCAAATTGTAGACGAGAAACTCGAACCGGTGTGGAGAACAAGTTGAGTCGTGGAGAGGTGGATCGAAACAAGTTTGACGAAGGAAGGAAGAAATGGAATTTGAAATTTGACTTAACACTGTTGAATTGACGAGCATTGTTGATCCTTTATCACGTGATCAGTATCACTCCAGGTCGCCTGAATGCACAAGATGCGAGTTACCAAGTTGGAGCCGATATGATATGCAAGAGACACCGCGTCACATCGTCATTAACATGTCAAAAACATGTGATTCGACGAGTCACCATCATCGAGAAAGGACTAGTTATCACTTGGGTCGACTGGATCCAAAAGTAGTCAACTTTGGTATCACCGTAGCGAGGATAGGATAGTTTCTATCGCGTTTCACGATCCGAGATAACCAGTTTCTGGCGTTAAATCCCCCGGGTAGTCGGTGTCGAGTCTCAAGGCACAAGAGTCATCAGACCGTTGCCGCCAATATCGCCCCCCGTTCAAACCTTCTGCCGCCAATATCCCCTTCTCGTCGTGTTTTACCGTTTCGTACAACGCCCTATCGCTTCGTGTCTATTAAATTTGCCCGGTGAAATTGTCGAGTTTGTTCTATATCGTGTCCTTATATCGCCTGTTCGTGTATTTTTTTTTTTTAAGAATTATGCGGATGTAAATTATTTAATTATATCTATCGATGTAAATTAAGTTATGCCTCGAACGATCGACGAGAGATGTTTTCCATCATGGTTGAAAAATGTAGTTAAATTTTGGAGAAAATTTATCAAACGTATTTATACATTCTATTCACGGATCATATTGTGGATATATGTAATAAATATGTTAATATATGTTATCGTATATATAAATCCATAAAGATATTCGCGTCTCGAAGGGTTTCGACAAGGGAATTGGCACATCAGAGGCACAGAAGAGATAGAGATATCTCTTAACCAAAGTTAATTCAGTTCCTGCATGAATTTCAAATATATCATTTCTACGTTCTAGAATCTTAAAGATTCTGTCGCGTTTTTTATGATAAATAATACTCCCTTCGATAAAAGTAAACTGAAACGTTGGAAAATCGATGTTCCAACTTTCTCGAGCATCATACCGTGTTCAAAAATATAGGAAACTTATCGGATAACGTATCGGTTTAATTAAAAGGAAAAAGCGTGGAGAACGTGTGGAAGCGCGAAGGCCACATCCTCTCGAGCGTTATTTTTTTTCTTTTCTTTTTTTTTCTTTTTTTTATATGTAGGACACAGATCTTGTCCTGTTGGAAGAAGTTCTTTTCTTTCAACGAGAGATGGTCCAGATATCGATTCTTCTCGTCGAAGGACTCGGACGTGCTTGCTTTCTAAACAGCTCTCCAGCACGACCATCCTTCCGGATCGACGTTCGACCAATCTCGAAGAAACATCGCTTCTCTTTTCTTTCTTCCTTTCTTTTTCTTTCCTTCCCCCTTTTTCTCCTCCTCTTCTTCTTCTCCGACAACACGATTCTTTCGACGTGAAGATGCATGTCTCCTCGCCGTCATCGTCGCTCCAACTTTCTCTCTCGCGCGCGCATACGCAACCCTCGCTTCAAAGTTTTCGATCGAAACGGTTCGATCCGCTCTTGCGACGTGCCACTCGCTTTTTCCGCGTAATATCATACCTACTTTCGCGGCACCTTTTTCCTTTTCGAGACGCCTGATTTCGATCTGCGTGTTCCACGAGGGGAATAAATCTATCTCTTAACATCCACTCGTTTTTTTAACGATATCTCGCGTTTCGATCACTTGCGTGGTATTTTATGGAGAATTTTTTTTTTTGGATATATCTCTTGTTTGTTATACACGCAGTTATATTTTGTAATTGATAGAGGAAAAATTTTATACGCGAGAAAGTTGTAGTAATGTTGGTGTTATGAAATAAAATTTAATTTTATAAAATACGATTTTCTTTATATGCTTTATCCTAATATTTGAAAAATATATATGTATTAATATACCACTGCTATTTGCATTTATTTTATCGAATAATATAGACACGCAGCGGAACGAAATGTTCGCAACGAAAGATTAATTGTATTATTTTAGAAATGTTGTTGAAAATTTGATTCCCATTCTATATATACACATACGAAATTTCGCATCGGATTTCAGTGAGATTAAATATTTTTCAATTATAGGATAATAAAACGCAAGTCGAGAGTTATCAGCTGTACACCAGATAGATACAAATAAAGCTAATTTTCTCGTGGAAATAAAGTCTGGTAAAAAAATATATATTTCGTTTCAACCACTCCTTTTTCCCAACTTACTTTTTCACTTCGTAGAATTATTCTCTCGTGCAACCGGTTACAAACGGGGCACCGTTTCAAAAGCACAAGTGTATTAACCGTAATAAGGTTAAGCACATTTCCTCCCCTCCAAATTGCAAATTCGTAGGCAGGTCGAAAGCCGAGCGTGGATAGCAAAGCCCATCCTCGAGTGTGCTCGGACAAGCAGCGGAGTTTGAAGTTTGACGATGTAACCGAGCGCCAACTGCAACTTCAAGAATTCTTATTTCTATTTTAAACAACTTTCCACGTTATTATTCATACATACGTTGTCGCTCTCTTCCTCCTTTATTTCTTATCTTCGTGAAAATTCCACACGTTCGAAGAGGAAAACGAGTGCACGCGAATCGGTAAAAAATTGTTTCACGACCGGCCGCCGCCGCCTCCTGCATCATTCACGAAGAATTCGTAAATTTCCACGGCGTGTGCCGTGAGTATCAACCGTAAATACAGGGGATCACGGAATAACTCGGCTCATAATATTTATCACCGCTTCCTCTTATTGTTTCGACGCGCGGGAATTCCGCGAACCGAGCTGAGTAAAGTATTTATGTTTTGCTACAGGATAAACGAGAGCACGACGAGGTCCCAATTCCTCGCGTATTTCAGTTTCTCGTCCAAGGCGAGCGTGTCGGTTGGTTGGCCCGTAAAAGGCGGAGAACCGAAGAACAACACCGGTAAGTGAATACTCCTTTTCTTTTCTCTTCTTCCACTTGTTATATTTGTAACAATCCTTCGCTGTTGCGTAATTTTTCTTGATCGTTAATGTAAATAGATTTGGATTGCGATCTTGGATACTCAAATTTTTATCGTTCAAGCTTTCACATCGTTGTGATGTTATCATTTGTATGTAAAATATAATAGTTGGAATGGTTCGTGATGATGTCCCTTAAGAGATCAAATAAAGATAAATATTTGGAAATAACAAACTAATCTTGACTAATTACCTCATAATCGTGAGATAACAAATCGCAAGAGTAAACAACAAATACGTGACGAAAAGAGATAATTTCACGCGAATCGAGCGGTTTTAAATTTCAATTGTTCGATACGCAATTTCGAAAAATGGAAGGAGAAACTTTGCACGCGTTTATCCTCCTCCTTCGTACTACGTTCTGCAATGATGAGCGCGAGTCGATGGTGACGCGAGCACGTCAGAATTACGGCTAACGTTAGGTAAATTCGTCGTCTCTCGGAGGCGATATCGAGGAAACGAGGGAGGAGGAGGATCGAACGAGGCGCGCCGAACTGTCCTGGCTGGCGGATCAAACATTGATCCAGTGCGGGGGTTCGTTATACCGATAACTTTATCTAGCTGCAGGATATTATGCGATTGTATCATTAGCGAGTTCATTTTCGCCGGTAATAGGTGGAAAGCAGGCGGTTCAAACGCGCTCAGCATCGATTTTCACGATCCTGTCCCAACCACTTTCGCGGCAAAAGCAATCCAGGCCACGGGCTGGAAATTAAACGGCGGATCGAGGCGAGGCGGAAATCGAACTAGGGAGAGAAACTCGTATCTCGAAGAAGGAATTGGAAGGAAAAGAGAAAAAGGATCCAATTTCTAGAGTTCGAATGTAGATCGTCTTATGGAAGTATCTTGTCGAGTTCCATCTTTGCAAGATTTCGATTCTTCGAGTGAAGAATTAAAGAAAGGAAGAAAGAAAGGGTGCAATTTTAGAATTCGAACCATTCGCTTATCGCGAGTCGTAAAAGTGTACGTACCACTATCTTCCATCTTTGCCCTGCGAGATTCACAGCGAGCGAGGAAGGACGAGGAAGAAGGGGTTTTTCCTTGACAGAGGCGGGTATTCTTTTTCCAACGGTGAAATCCGGGGGTAGAGAATGCGAGAAGGGCACGGCTCTCTCGAGGACCCTCTCGGTGTCCGTGGAACCTTTGCACTCGACGTTAATTCCGAAACGGTTGGAGGAAAGGGTGGTAGATACTACTCGGCAAGGGTTGGAGGACTGGGTGGAAGCGATAGGGGGTGGGGGATGCAGGAATTTCCTTGCGCAAACAGAGAAGAGGCGTAATTTCTGCCTAGTTAGAACGAAAATTATGCGAGCTTAAGTGCGCCACCGTCCGGGCTTAACCGAATAAAGACAGTTTAGGATCCGTGGAGAATTTAGACTGATCGAGGCCAGAACCGTTAACGACTATCCTAACCTCTCGTCGGGTACCAACCATTCGTTGCACCAACTTTCTTAATATGACGTTTTAATGGGTTATCATCCGCGCTGAAAAACATTATCGTTTGTATTCGTCATCTGGAATGAAAATTTACATAGGTGTGGAGCGAAAGGGTTGGCTGTTTTACCCATTAAATTGAAATAACGTAACATCTCGTTTGCAATTCTAATCGGTTGATTTGCATAAAATTTTACACTTCGGTGTTGTAATTTTAATGAGAAAATAAGAATTCCTTTTCCCTTTTTTTTTTTTTTTTTGGAGCAATAATGGAATTTGGAATTTGGAATTTTTCAACTATGGATGTGTAAATAATATTGAAAAGAAAAAAAAGCAATATACGATCAAAGGTTGAACGAGCGCGTGTTCAATCGGTAAAATTGAAATGAATTTTTTAAACAGCCGTGTTTTTAAATCATCGAATGGAAAAAAAATCGGGGAGAAGGGAGGGGAAGATATATACACGTAAAGCGACCTTTTTATTATATACTTGGCCGGCTGTTTGTACATCGATCCGAACGAAATTGCGCGTTCCAAATTGGCAGGAATATTTTGGAAACGCAGCCAGTGCCGCGCGAACGACTCTAATTAGATAATGCTTCCCTGTGTTGTGCAACACTCGCTACGCATTAACGTAAATTCCGCAACCGCGGCGTTTCGTATTCGCGGGGCCGGTATAATAATAACTGGAATCGCTCGTTACGACAATTTTGTCGAGAACCGGTTCCCTTATCACCAGGCTGCACCTGGTGTTCAACGTCATCGCTTAATCCTCCCTCGAATATAACAATAATAAAGAAAAATCCAAGAAGCTTCGATACGATACAAATATATCATCGAATCATCGAGGTTGAAGTTGAAGAAAAATTACAATTTCCAATTTTGGTGAAAATTGGTAAATTCGATCCGCGCCCGTAGTCGAATAAATGTATCCGGGTCATTTGGATTTGGACAAAGTAGTTACGAGAAGTTACGAGATACGTGATTTTAATCGAAGGATTCTCGACAGCCAATTAATCTTCTCGGGTAGGGGATGCGTGTTGTGTACATATTACTTGCACGCTACGGGAACAATGAATAATTTATGGAGAGACCGAAATTGAGCCTTACGCCGCTCGCCATCGTTCGATCGATACAGGACAGATTATTAACACCGCGTTCGATTGAACTCTCCCTCCTCCCTCTCTCTCCTCCGCGAAATCAAAGTGATGAGAACGGAGAGAGGATCTCGTTTGACACGATTGAAAAATGACGAGAGCGGGGGAGAAAGAAGGATTAGAAAAATGTTTGATTAAAGAACGATGAAGGAAGAAAAAAAGAAGTGTGAGGAGAGAGAGAGAGAGAGAGAAAAAGAAGAGAGAAGGAGGAGGGTGTATATATAATAGAGGTATTGCGACTTCCTGGTTACATCGATGTCACATTTTTACGACATCCTCGTTCACTTTTTTCTTTTTCTTTTTTTTTTTTTTTTTTTTTTTTTATTACGACACCCTATTTCCCGGGAACAGCGTGACGAATGTGCGTCCATTCTGCGACGAAATAGCCTTCGACGGAGAGGTGCGGGGTCGATCCTCGATGGAAGAAGCTTAATTCCATGTTGGTTGTATTGAACATAAAAAAAAAAGCATCGAGTTCATTTAAGGGAAAAGGATAAAACGTTGGTGGAAAACGCGAAAATACGAATTTCCAATCGTTCGATCATTAAATCTCCATTACTTGCAAATTACAAATTGCAAATCAATTGGACAGCGGGCTCAATGTTAAAAAGTGATTCGACGTCGAGTTGCAGGTCACGAATTTGACGAGTTATAAGAGTTAATTCGTATAATTTCCAAGAAATAAGAGGGGAGGAAAAAAAAAGTGAATTTTAATTTTCCAAACGAAAAATTCCAAATATCCTGGAAATCTTCTATCCATTCACCCTCCCGTTGTGCCATTGTTCGCCGGTACGCATCACAACAACAAAAAGGAAAAAAAAAAAGAAAACGAGAAATATCCACGATAATTTCTCCTCTCGAGGAATAAAGACGAGGGAAGAAGCCCCACCGTGGATACCGCGATATCTCTCGAGGCACAGGCAACAGAAAGAAGAAAAAGAAGAAGAAGAAGAAGAAGTAGCGATAAAATGAAGGCTGAACCGGCGTGTATTATTCGCGCAGACGATGCACGTGTGCATCGAGCTATTTCCCGTCGTATACGTTTCCGTGGGAGTGGATTTAAGGTTTCCTTTACAACGGCATGCCGTCTCGGGTCGGTTTGTATCGATGGGAGAATCGTTGGTCGCCGTCCGTCCAATGAACGTGGAAAGTAGACCCCGGTCGTTTTAGCGGTGACAGAGTAGCAATAAGAAGGATGGAGAAACCTGGATGAATCCGTTTCGCGGTGGTAAAAGCGGCGATAGGGTCCAGGGAGATGGGAGGAGGGGAAGAAAGCTCTTTCCAACCCTCGCGCAAGGGAATGTTGGTCCGCGTATAACGAGAGACGACAACGATTCTCGATTATCCCTGGGAGAAAGCTTGGTCCCTTCCATATGCGCGAGACGTACGATTCCGGCGTGACTCCGCCCATCCGATGAATTCCACCCCTTCTTTCCTCCTCTTCTTTTCTTCTTTCTTCTTTTTTTTTCGCGCGGTTTGGATGGCTTTATTGAGGTTTGGACGTGGAGGAGGGTGGAGAAGGGAAAAGGAGGAGACGGTCCAGGCGAGAACGAAAGAGGAGGAGGGATAGTAAGAATGAAGGGAAACGTCGCTTAACAAACGGATCAATCGTTCGATTTTTGCTTCATCCGCTCTCTTCACGTTTTTGCCTCGCCTCTTTTGTCTTTTCCTTCGCTTCTTTCGGTTTAATCCTCGGGAAGAGATCCGTGGAAGAAGAATTCTAAGAAGAGGAGGAAGGGATCGAAGCGATATGTTCACTCTGATCTGAGGGATGATCATTTGGAAAAGTGAGAGATACGCGCAACGCAATCGGAAGAAAAAACGAATCGTCCGTCGATTGACAAACGGATCAATCGTCGGCTTTTGCGTATGCGATCCTCTCGCTGGGTGATTTGTCTGTGCCAGACAATGGATATATCTGAGCCCGGGTACTTGGAGATTTTCCCGTCAGAATGTGTGATTCTTTCGAGAAAGAATGGGGAGAGAAACAAGTCTATTGAGAGAAATATGTTTTCACTCGTTCGATGAAAATCCATTACTTCTAACGTAAAACGATAGTTTTTCATAAAAGAGGAATGGAAGCGAGTAAGGGTAAGAAAGTAGAATTAATAAATATTTTATAAGGGAGAAACGTAAGGGCGAAAAATGTATCCGGAAGGGGAAAGTTCAAGGGGAAGGATGTTGAAGCAACACAAATCGCGCTTCGTAGAAATAGGATATGGAAAAGTGCATGGTTTATTGCTTTCTTAAGCGGGCCATAACTTCGTCTCAAGAACATTCTACAGCTATCACATTCACGCTACCTCTTCCAGGACCACGCTCTGGGAAATAT